ATGGTTTGAAATTTATAAGATATGTATTCTTATGGTTTGAGATTGATAGGATGAGGATTTCCTATAGTTGGTCTTCTATTGTCATGAGTATGCGATTTTAGGGTTGGAAATAGAGGATTTATGAAGATTTAAAACTTGTCTATTTCTAAGGGTCTGAGAATAGAAGTTTTATGAGGATTTTGAACTTGTCTATTCTGTGAGGCCGTAGTGAAACATCCTAGCTGATTGGGTTGTTTAGAGTTGACCTGAGGATTGGTCATGGATGAGATGATATGTCGGGATAGTAGAATATCATGTTAGAGTTGACATGAGGATTGGTCATGGATGAGGTGATATTACGGGGTATTGGGATGTCAGGTTGAGACCACATGAGGTAGTTCTAGTCAGAGATGCTTTAGGCGTTAAGAATTGATTTCTCTAGGGAATGAAGATTTTCCAGAACAACTCATTAGGGAATGGGAATTTTCCCGAGTAACTCATTTGGAGATGATGATTTCTACAAGAGCGATGAGGATTTCCTTGTGTGTTACTGAGGGATGAGGATTTCCCTTAGTAATACTGAGAGGTGAGTATTTTTCTCGAAGGGATAAGGATTTCCCTGGGTTTTACTGAGGGGTGAGGATTTCCCATGTATACAGCTAGCTCGATGGACTGTGTCTCTTGAGAGTGTGTGTGGTATGGTGCACCGATAGCTCAAATGATGTGATCCTAAGAGTGGGAGTAGTGTGTTTATGAGTTATGAGTTGAGCATATGACTAGATGTAGACCTCAAAGATCGGGAGTGTTGATCTCAGGTGGTGTTGGCTGGATTGGTCAGGAGTGTTAACGGTACTGTGACGGTTTTGCATGATTCGAGTGTTGATCTCGAGTGGTGTTAGCTGGGTGGGTCAGTGGTTGAGACCATAGTGAACTGTATCACGAGATTCGAGGACGAATCATGGTTAGTGGCGGAGAATTGTAACGCATGTGAACCAAAATTTAGAATTTTAGGAGGTGCGTCGATCGACGCAAGGTTTATTGAACCGTCGAATTTCGGATTTAGTTGCTTAATTTGTGGCTCGGTTTGGGGGAAACCCTAGGGTTCGCATATATAAGCTAGGAAGCCGTATTTGTGTCGGGTTTTTGACAGAAAAAGAGGGTTTGGGAGAGAAGAAGGATCATTGTTGTTTCCCTTGCATTCTCGCACATTGAGGCTTAGGATTGTGAGTTATGAGGCGTTAGAATTGATTCATGAGCGTGTTCTTCGTGGAAGAAGGAGTATTATAAGATTCTAGGGATTTCCATGCTCTGATTTATCATGATTCGTCGTGTTCTTCGTGTTTCTCATCCCTTTTTCTTTCCAAAATCGAGGTGAATGCTATAACATCCGCAAACCAAAATGTTAAGTTTTT